GCCAGTATCACTCCACCCCCTGTTAACAATAAGCGTTAATTAGGTGTCAACGATAGCCATGTGATGTGAGTATCAGGCTTAAAAGCCTGAATTTTGCCTGAAACTCTCAGACTGAAGAAGTCTCTTGGAGAAGAGACTAAACGTTTCATTAGAGAAGAACCCGTCCAGAAGACCTGTACAATTTTTTTTCTTTTTGATTTTTTACCTGGATTACTGCGATGCATCAGGACACTGTGACATAAGTCTTGGTCCTGTTTATGGCAATAAAATATTTAAATACTGGTGTATGTCACATTTCTATTGTGTTTATTTTATCCAGGCACAGTTCCAACCCAACCCTATAGTTTTTTAATGTGCTACTATGTTAAAACACCAGCTTATTCATCACAAACTAAGCTTAACTTATTTATATAATCAGTTTGTGAATGACAACTGTTTTATTGTTTATTTATCTACTGYACAATGTAGTTATGCGAGCTGGTTTCGTTATCTGTCTGTAAATAGTAACACAGTTCTTGGATCACAGTCAGACTGACGACTCGACCTTTCACCCAATTTCTTTCTCACGCGACAACCAGATAGCCGCTGCGCTCGTGAGGACTGAGCAGCCGACCGTCATTTTACAGGTAACCACTGATGCTGACGCAAGTTTCACTGGATTTTTAAAGCCGCTTTCATTCAAGAGTTTTAGTAAAAGGCACGGCGGTAAGAAAACCAGTCGTTAAAGGGGGAGGTCGGCGTTAGCTTCCGGATGTAGAAAGCCGACCGGCATGCTAACAGCCGTGCTAGCTCGTTCTTAATAACAGCGAACAGCTGGAAGCTAAACGCGAAATTACCACTCAAGCTGCTTTAAATCTGTAAATTTGCACCGCAAAGTCGGCGATAAGTCAACCAGTTTACCGGAAGTAGTATGCTATTAGACGTCAAATCATCCGCGTATTTCCTTACTCGGTTGCCTTAAACTTACTAAGTTATTAGAGTGATCCTTCCCAAACCTGATCATAATATCCTGCGTGTTTTAGTTGCTTTTCTACTTTTCAGCAGCTCTCCAGGAGTGTTTAATCACTCATTTATAAATCAGGTGTATCAAAGCAGGGAAACCTCTAAAACTTGAAGGACCTGTTGTACCAACACACCTGATTTAAAGGAATTAATTAGCTCCACAGTTCAGCAGAAGCCTGTAATTCACCATCAGTTTGAAGCAGGYGTGTTGAATCACTTCAAAAACATCTAAAATATGCCAGGTAGTGTGTCCTGAGGACTAGGAGTGGGAAACACTGTTTTAATCTACAATGACAACAATATTCCATACCATTAAAATGACATTAATCAAAGAGGAGATGTAAGTAAGACAGAAAACTGTGAATGATGCTCCCGAAGTGTTTTTACGACTAACAGGCTCCAAATGCTAATCGGTTGTAGATGCGTATCTTATGATTACTTCCTGGAAGTTTTGTTTGAATCTTGTGAGTGTTTTATAAAACATTTTGTTAACGGTACAGAGAAACAAACAGACAAATATATGTGAGGCTAGGAGTGTGCAACACACGTATCATTGATGAGTTCTTTGCCCTTGTTTGTACGTAAGCAACATGTTTCTGTGTTGTCACCAGAAATGCTCATAAACCAGTCTGGCATAATTTCCTCAAAGATCAGTTTTATGTTTGTGCTGCCTCTGGCTGTTCATAAATCACAGCTGGAGCCAGCCACGTCCTGCRGAGAGGTGAGCTTTCTGAAATGAAGCAAGCATCACAGAAACAAAACTCAGCTGCGTTAATGAGGAGCGCCGTGCATTAAATTTGTGACGGATGCCTCCCACGTATTCTTCTCAAAACACGATAAACTAACTCAGTTTATTGATTTTCTTTGTGGTTAACTATTATTTTTTTAAACTAAATGCAAAGTTACTTTATGTCATTAATCTTAAAGAAATCAACACAGGAGACACCTGCCGGTAAGTCCCAGCTCAGTGGGTTTTGTTAAAGTTTTTTACACCAGGCATTTAGCTAGAAGGGCRTTGTTCAGTTTTACAATGCCCTCTTCCAGCTGGGGACGTCCTCAGGGCACTGTGCTGAACTTCGGGTCCCCCCAAGAGTTTTTATTTTATTTTACTTTAATGCGTAAACTTCCATAAACTACATAAGTGGCGGAGGGGGTGACCACAATTATTTTATGAAGTCAGATGAAGACACATAAAGGATAAATTCCTTCCTTCACAAAATAATAACATGTTTATGACACGATATTTGACATGACAATGTCACACCAGTTTTTGGCTACTTTGGTCCACTCTACTACTGGAAGTTTGAGTTACATCTCTTCTCATTGGCTGTTCAGATCCAGGGTCAAACTACTTTAGCAAAAAGAGGGGGTGTCTCCCGTCATTCACTTGCCAGAAAACCCACTTTTCTTCTTTGCTCCAGTTGTTTTTATGTCATTCTACATAAACAATATTTAGAGTCAAAACTCATTACAACAAAAATGTAAAGCATTTCCAGGTTTTGACTCTGTTAAAATGGCTTTCATTGTGTAAAAGGTATTGAGTCATTTTATTTTACACATAAAATCTTTGTTTTTCATTCATTGTTCATGTTAACGTGTTCATTCACTCTTGAAGCGTAATTGGTCCTCTTGGCTTTAGATAAAAAAATGATTGCTTCGTCTTCACCTTTGTGGACGATAGTGAAATAAACAGCTTAAAGTTACAAAACTTTTGCTTAAATATTATTCTAAGCAAGAAACAAAAATGTATAGTAGTTTTCTTGGCAAACATATCAGCAAAAATTGTACAATAATACACACTTTCTAATATTGCTTGAAAATTGTCTGATTTAAGATTCCCCTGTTTGTTTGTTTATTTATTTCTTTTTAATTTTGTAAAAAAGCATTACATTTGATTTGTTTCAAGTTTGAACAGTTTGTATTTTAGACCAGCTCATGCAGAACTAAATAAAGCTTTACACAAACTGTATCCAACCACAGAAAACTTTTTATTGCTCATTTAAAATATGACTTGCCCTGCACCACACTTTTGTCACGGTTCTGCCAGCTCACAGTCTGTAAACCACTGACATATTGACCATTTGCATTTCCCAAGGCAGCTTTTAAAAGCTCACACTTTAAGTACAAAATGTTTCAGTAGCTCTGTATTTCTGCTGGTTTGACTGTTCTTCTTGTAATGTATAAAGAGTATTTAGCATACTAATGTTTATAGTTATTTTTAAACACACACAATTTACCTCATTTGCYACACAGGCAGGTTAATGGCAAATACAAATGATTTTGTACATAAAAAATGGTTAGCTGTTATTACAGATAATTCTGTGGTTTTGACAATGGTTTCYACAATTTTTATAAAGCAAAGCATGGTTATGCACGATTCTGAAACCTTTATTTTTGTTTTTCCCCACAGAGTTGTTATATCCAGTGAGAACATTCAGACATGTGGATGAGTACATTTGCACGTTTTGCCCTTCCCGTGCTACAAAGGAGCACCTCTCCAATAGCCTGCAAGGCCCTGAGAGCTTGTCGCAGAATTGAGAAGGCTGGAGTTCCACCGCCCTGTTTTCTGACACCAGTGGGTGTTCGTGGGCACCACACACTTGGCTCTGCCTCTCTCCCCGTGGCTCACCACTCAGTGAGGCATGTCCGGGCTCTGGACGAAGAGAGGCTTCTGGAGGTGGAGTGGGAGGATGGAGGCCAAAGTCTGTTCCCTTTCACCTGGCTTAGAGACAACTGCCAGTGYCCACTGTGCACCCTGCAGTCCGCACAGGCCCGTTTACTCTTGCTAACTGATCTTGATGTCCACACGGGAGTAAATGTTGTGGAGGTCACCAATGACAACAAGGTCTGTTGCTATAATCTGCCCAAGTTGCACACACATTTATACTGTTCTGTATTTTGAGAACTAACGAGTGGTTGAATTATAATAGAGGCTGCAATTTTAAGTAAAGTTGATGTAGCCTGTATTGTTCTTTTAAATATTTATTTTCTTAAAATGGCAACAAAAATAGGGGTTATAGACTTTAATACTCTCTTTTTACACTCTTCTACAAATATGTGTTGCCTATTATTATGATTACTACTTACTGTACAATGCACGTGGATCAAAGATGGCTTGTTAGTTATTAATAATATTGTTGCTTTTACCTGTAAGCAGTACAAACATAAATTCATTGCTACAAAGGGACAGTTTTAGTTATAGTTTCCAGTTGAAAGGGAACAAGGAAGTGTATCAAATCATCACAGATTTCACTGATAACAGAATTTGGCGAGGAGCGAAGCTTGCTAGAGGCTTTCAGTGATCATTTTGGCAAACATTTCATAACTCATTTCATTAATTTTGTTAAACGTGTGAACCACAAAGCGTGACTGAGTTTATGATTCATGCAAAACGCAGTTGTGGTTGAGCTTTGTYTAAATCCTAAAATTTAAAACACCAAATCTAAGCTATGAATTTATCAACCCAAACAGTCTTTGTGCCTGTCTGCCTCAGCTCGACACAGAAATGCTGTTTGCATATAGAAGTGTAAGAATACTATTCATTATRCTTTGGTAACATAAAACCTGTTTCTTTGCGTAAAAGCTGACCTTTGAAGCCAACTATCTAAAAATGAACTGTAAGGGTTAGGAAAAAAGGCACACTTAGCCTTATCTTCCTAGAAAGAAATCACATCCAATCCTTTCTTTTTCTTTTCAGTTTCTAAACAGCAATAAACAGATTGTTTTTGACTTTCCTGCCAAGATRTTGTTGGCATAACTTGATTACAATTTACAGCAATAACTTTTCTAATCTAAATCTTGTACTAAGATATTTGATAAGCTAATAACATGCTGTTTGGATGCTGTGTCAAAGATTTCCCTGCTGTTTCTGGTAGTTACTTTTGATTAGGACTGTTCAAAGGCCACCATTGAAAAATGAAATTACGAACAAAAGAAATTTGCACTGAAAAAAAATAAAAAAATCTATAATTTCTGTATTTCTCTCAGTTTATGAACTAATGTGTTTTGTGCTTGCATTTCAAAAAGGTAGAACAGCATTTTTTGACATTCAGATCATAAAATGTTAAAAAGATAAAATAGCCAGCTATGATGATCAAAAGCAAGCTTTTAAGAACAGTTCAGTTGCAGGAACTCCACTGTGCTCTAAGTCGATGGGTTATCACAATTAAATATTAAACAGTGAAAACAAGGGCACAGCTTTAAAGAAAACTGAGCTCAGTCTAGTTTTATCTCTCTCCAGGTCTCAGTTGTGTGGCCAGACCATCACAATAGTGTCTTTGATGCTGATTGGCTGAGAAAACGCTGTTTTTCTACTACTGCCAGGCAAGCAATGCAGGAGGAGCTCTTTCTCAATGGTGAGTCACTTTTTAACTTTGTTTTATTTAGGATAGAAACCACCATGTACTGTATGGGTTCTAAGTATTTGTATACAGTCTATACAATGGTGGGCACAGTTTCCCTAAAGCACTAAAGCCCTAATAAGGGAACTAATTTCCTGATTAGTGCTTCAGGACTTTTGCTAATTTTAAAATTTATTAGTGGATTAGCACTTGCTAAATTGATATGCTAAATTTAGAAGCACTAACTGAGGTCTATAAATGTTATTGATCAACGTTAATGTTAACAGCCGACAGTGAAAACTGTCACTCATTTTGTTCATATGTGTGTCACTTATCCACTAGGTGACAATATATCGACAATATATGAACCCAAAAAAGGTTGTGGAATATCACTGATGAGTCTTAAGAGAGCAACATGACAATATGTGACTCATGTTGTCTGTTGAAAAATGTTCATGTGTTGATTGGTTTTAGTTAGYGCTTTAGAATTAGCTTTTGCTAAATTTTCAGTGTGTTAGTGCTTTAGAATTAGGGGACCTAAATATCTGAGTTAGTGCTTTAGGGCTATATGTATACATACATACATACATACATAAATACACACACTGTATTTAACCCACATACTCAGCTCCACTGATCATCCCACAAACGCATGTTCCTTACAAATGTGGCACCATTTAAAAGAGAAATTAACAGGCTTTCCAATGGTATAAGTTCTGTTGCCAAGAAGCATTGTTACAACAAAGAAATAATCTACCAAACCCTAATTTCTTTACTTTGCGTGCTAAATGTATTTCTCTTCACTAAATCCTAATTTGAAAAATGGTGTTCACAACATTTTTATAGATTGATGATTTCAATAATCCCTGATTATTTTGTTACTTTTNAAATATTACAGATTTGAACAAATACGCACAAAAACATCAAAATTAGCACAGAAACAGTACTATATAACATTTTAGACACATTCTAGATAGTTTATCAGCTAAAAAAAGTTAATTTTGGGGTAAGTTACTCTTTCAGGACTTTTGCTAATTTTAAAATTTATTAGTGGATTAGCACTTGCTAAATTTATAGGCTAAATTTACAAGCACTAACTGAGGTCTATAAATGCTATTGATCAACGTTAATGTTAACAGCTGACAGTGAAAACTGTCACTTATTTTGTTCATATGTGTGTCACTTATCCACCAGGTGACAATATATGAACCCAAAAAAGGTTGTGGAATATCACTGATGAGTCTTAAGAGAGCAACATGACAATATGTGACTCATGTTGTCTGTTGAAAAATGTTCATGTGTTGATTGGTTTTAGTTAGTGCTTTAGAATTAGCTTTTGCTAAATTTTCAGTGTGTTAGTGCTTTAGAATTAGGGGACCTAAATATCTGAGTTAGTGCTTTAGAATTAGGGGACCTAAAAATCTGAGTTAGTGCTTTAGAATTAGGGGACCTAAATATCTGAGTTAGTGCTTTAGGGCTATATGTATACATACATACATACATACATACACTGTATGTATACATACATACAGTATAAATACACTGTATTTAACCCACATACTCAGCTCCACTAATCATCCCACAAACGGATGTTCCTCACAAATGTGACACCATTTAAAAGAGAAATTAACAGGCTTTCCAATGGTATAAGGTCTATTGCCAAGAAGCATTGTTACAACAAAGAAATAATCTACCAAACCCAAATTTCTTTACTTTGTGTGCTAAATTTATTTCTCTTCACTAAATCCTAATTTGAAAAATGGTGTTCACAACATTTTTATAGGTTGATGATTTCTATAATCCCTGATGATTTTGTTATTTTTGGCAAACAAAGAATGAACAATCAGTAGCTCTGGTCATCCCGTGCTAGAGTTGGTGTTTTGGTTGTTAAAACAGAGAAAACTGGTGGTCCTAAACAACCACTGGCTTCAAGCTATTGGTAAAAAAATATCCCTATAGTATAACACAATGTAATTTATAATCTGTTTGTGTTCTCTTGAGATTTGTTCAAGACCTGGTTAACAACATATGATTGATTAGTTAAAACTTTTAAAAGGGAGTGTTCAGTGTGTAAAATACCACCTTTTATTCTTATATCATGTAGCAATTACTATTCATATCGTTAGTGGGTGTTAGTGTTATAAAGAAGTCTCATTTCTTTCTGAATATATTTACAATGACACAATGTCTTGTGGAATATTGCACAGTGTAGATAAGATTTAAAATGATCCACAGTTTTCATAACTGCTGACAAAGTGCTGTAGTTATCAGACTGCTCTGGTCTGAAACTAACGATTACTTTCTAATTATTGTTGATATAATGGGGGAAAGAGATTAATTTTAAAGGAGGCCATAAATCACAACACAGCTGTCTCACAATTAAAAGGAAGAACAAACACTCCTGAATTAGTTTCAAAGCTGTATCCGAGTGCAATTCATCAGCTTGCCAAGCAGCAGGTGTTACTGGCTGTACTTAAATAACAAACCAGCACGTTCAATAAAACTTGWTGTCACACACGACACTTCATCTTGTGTGCTATTATGAATGTCAATGCATTATACACCTCTGCAATTTACTTTATATTTTCAGTCTAAAGTAAGCAAAGTTAATCCAGACACAGATGTTCTTAAACTGCAATCACTTGAAATGTGTCCACTGGGATAGTAGTATTTTTGTTTGTTTGTTGTTTTTTTTTTTTTCGGAGCATCATTCCAGTCCATACGTCTTACCAGTTGGCGGCAGTAATGCACCAAATTGTGGTTTGCTAAAGAAAATCCAAAGAAGAAGACACATTGACTGTCCACTGTCTGTAGCTGTTTCCCATACAACTAGCACCAAGTGGCTGAACCTTTAGTTACTTTAAATAGGTGAATATTTATACAGTCACTTATTTTACCTTAAATATTTTCTTGTTTAATTGGTATTACTTTGTAGAAATACATTTTCACTTTGTCATCGAATAGTCTTTTTTTTTTTTTTTTACTGTTTTTGTCAAAAAGGTATATTAATTTAGTCTTACAGGGCTGATTTAGAATAGCATTAACAAAGTAAMACATCCAAGGGGTTTGAACATATGCTTTGTATTGTTTTTTCTTTTAGAAAATTTACTTGCTCAGATTCCCAATGATGGAATATATTTCTGAATACTTACTGGATTCAAGTTACTGTCCGAGACATTATTCATTTCAGTCTTGGGTCTTTAATACCAATTACATCATCCCTTTGCTAAAAAAGCCATTTTATGAGTTGTTTTTTTAACAAACATTTGTTTTGTTAATAAAAGACTAAGGAAATAACTTGTAGCCCACCTTACTTACCATACTTCAGGTTTTTTTGTCACAGACTAAGCTCGAGGCCAAAATTAAAAAGGACTCTTGTATTAGTCAAATTTTATACCATACCATACCATACCATACCATACCATACCATACCATACCATACCATACCATACCATACCATACCATACCATACCATACCATACCATACCATACCATACCATACCATACCATACCATACCATACCATACCATACCATACCATACCATACCATACCATACCATACCATACCACTTTTATTTATAAAGCACTTTAAACAGCACAAGGCCAACCAAAGTGCTGTACAGTAGAATTTTATTTGAAAAATTGTGAAAAAGTAAACAGCATGTGAGGGAGATTCCTAAAGGTTCRTTTGTGAGTTGCAGGACTCCTTTGAGTCATGATTTTGGAACAGGTTAGAGAAATACAGCAGTAGAGCTGTATGTTTTATTTATTTTATTTTACCATTGTTTAACCAGTCAAATCSCATTGAGATCCCAGATCKTTTTCAAGGGAGGCCTGGGCCTGAGGGCAACCTTTTTTACCTGGTTTGGGAATGTGGGGGAAACCGGAGTACCCGGAGAAACCCCATACAATAGGAGAACATACAAACTCTACAAAAAAAGACCATAGGTCTGAACTGGGGATCAAACCCAGCACCTTCTTGCTGTGAGGCGTCGGTGCTAACCACTGAGCCACTCGTGCTGCCGACATGCATTTTGATGTAATCAAAATGGAGCAGCCAAGTACTGGTGTATTTTCATGCAGTTTTGTGTCTCAAACTAGTCCCCAAGAATCGCAGCCCAGTGAGACCTGTATCCACTTTTAATGTAAGGCARTAAAACCCAGAGAAAACCTTGGACAAACCAACACAAGAATATAAACTCCTAACAAGGTGTACTTAAAAATTGTCATGGGACAACCCACAAATATTATAAAACTATGTAGTATTAAAGCATAATAGATGAGTTAGCTGTGGCAACAACTAGAACAGATGTAATGTGCAGAAAGTGCTTTCCAACTTATGTCATCAGAGATCATTCAGATTTATTTAAAGTGTCATTCTGTGGAGGAGCTATGAGCAGTGATTATCTTACCTGTAGTAGACGCAGTGAGAACAAACTCAGAACCAGGAAGGTGTCCYTATAGTCCACATTAGTTAAGCTGATTAGTGGTCAGGCTATTCAGTGCAGATTTCATCCATCTAAAACAACCGAAACCTCAGAAATCCCTCTGTGGTATAAGCAAAAGCTAATTTATAAACTTTTTATTGTGTCATTGTTACATCAAACTGTTACACAGAAGGTTATGATTATTTGCATTGAAAACTAGTGGTTCTAGAGGGTGCTGTTTAATTTATAGTCCAACTTAAATATGTGTATTTGTCCATTATGACTGAAGCGGGTCAGATGTAGGCCATGTTGAAATGGATTCATACAGTATGTTACAATG